ATGTCAATAGCAAAAAGCCAAAAAAGAATAATAATAATTTAAAACAAATATAATGCTTTTGTACAAATGCTATTTTAGCATGCTTCAAAAAAAACATTTCACAAATTTATATGAAACTGTTTACTATAAGAACAGTATATGTCACTGTGCAAGTAGTATGTCAATTTTACATTTAAAAATAAATAAATAATCAAGGTTCATGGTCCAAAATAAATATTTCAAAAAAATAACTTTAAATGGAAATGTTGAAGAGCCATACTACTGAACATGCATTTTCCTTTCCCTTGCCCGAAACGGTGGCCTTTTCGTTTTTCTTCAACAATGCCTTGGCAATTTCCTTTTCTTTTGCCTACAAAAAATAAAGAAAATTTTTAAAGAATAAAGAAAATATATATATGTAGAAAGTTTTTAAAAAATATATAAATAAGAATATACGGTGTATACGGTGTTTTGAATGAAAAAAAATCTATATAATTAAATTGGGCCTACCTCTCGAACACGGATGACATTAAGGTCACGCTCATCACGGATAACAACATTAACATTTCTTTCTTGAAGAAATTGGATCTAAAAATACAAAAGAATTAGAGGTAAAAAAAATAAAAAAATTATACATGTAAGAAAATGAGTAAAAGGAGTCAATATTACAGTTCGACGTAAGTCTCCATCCATCTGTAAATTTAAGAAAAGAGCATTTTGTTCTAAGGAATTAGATAAAAAAATAATGAAAAGAAAAGAAAATTGACTTTTGCTTATAAGAAAAAAATGTTTTTTTTTTTCAAATAAATAAAAAAGAAAACAACTTACGTGACCAAAAATAGTAATGTTGTCCATAATTAGCGGTTGAAGGTCGCGGTTGAAGGTCAATGGTGTCTCAACCTGAAAGTGCCGGGTTATGTAAATTTGACAAAGATAATTGTATGAAGGCAAAATGAGGTTTAATAATTGCCATAAAAAAAAATTAATCGCTACAAAATTAACAACCTCTTAACATATTTTAGTTAACAACCTAGTTTAAGAAGTTCGTTTGTGCATGAATATCACAGAAGGAGAAATTCACCTACTACAGGATAGAAGTAAAATTATAATTTTTTTATGTCTTCAATATACGTTAAAAAGGATAGAAGAAAAATTAAATACTCTTATAGAATTCTTCATAATTTTTCTCTATTGACCAAAATGTAGAACTATAGCAATACATGATTTTGTGGTTGATTCTATATAGCAACTTTGCACTGACAAAGGTTAATTCTTATGGATTGTATTGCCCATTTTTCCTACTAACAACTAAGTAAATTATAAAAAAAAATATAAATTATACTAATGAATAAAATTTTAGCAAAACTTAATTACAGAAATTTAATTACTCAATTTGCGTTTTAAAATGTGAAAATGAAAAATAAGTAAAAAATTACGATAAAAATTTATAAAAGGGCTCACCACACTGTAACTGGAAAATTACAAATACCTTTTGTATTATCTGTATAATTGCAAATGCCTTTTTCAAAAAAGTATACTACACAGTAGCTTATTTACTCCAAGGAGTAATACTCTCATAAAAATCATTAAAAAGTTATTAAAACAAATTTTTAAAATAAGTTTAAGTTTTTTCAAAAGTCCTGATAAACATCTAAAAAGTCTTTTTTTTTTTTTGAAAAATTCCATAAATAAAATTGAAACAGAAAAATAAACTGGACTCTTTTCAAAGAGAGAGAAGCCTAAACATTTTAAAATAGCAGTTCAATTAAAAAACCAAATTAAAAACAATTCACTAAAAGCAAAAAAAAATAAGGGTCATCAAATTAACAGTTATATATCAAGATACATAACTATACACACTATATTAGACTTATTTCTAAACCAAATATTAAAAGCTTAATGTTTAATATAATTATTGAAAATTCGAAGACCAAACATGAAAATTCCAAAGCATTAAAGAAATATGAAAGAGTCCATTCATTAATCCAAAACATTTATTAACCCACTGCAATTCAATAAATAAAGTGAGGAACTAATAAAGAATTGCAAGGGATAAAACACTCATCACAAAAAATGTATACAAATCTATTTTTATATTTGGTGAGTAAAAATATGACCATTGATGATTAAAGAGAGCCTCAACCCATCTGACCAAGATGAAACAAAAATCTATATAACAACAACCTAATTAATGTCAACATTAACTCAGAGTTTTTTTTGGAAGCTCAACCCATTAAGATGAAATAAAAATGATTGTTAATATCAAACCCAATTTTTCTTAACCCTCATTTGAAACACGAAACCTATTTTTCCTTAACCTTCATTTGATAAAGAGAGAAAAGTGGGTGTTAAAATTCCATTGATTATTAAAGGATACCTCAACCCAATTAATGTTAGCATTAACTCAGAGTTTTTTTTGGAAGCTCAACACATTAAGATGAAATAAAAATGATTGCTAACAAATAACCCAATTTTCCTTAACCCTCATTTGAAACATGAAACCCATTTTTCCTTAACCTCCATTTGATAAAGAGAGAAAAGTGGGTGTTAAAATTCCATTGATTATTAAAGGGTACCTCAACCCAATTAATGTTAACATTAACTCAGAGTTTTTTTTGCAACCTCAACCCATTAAGAACAAAACACAACACATAATTATTTTTTTTATTTTTTTTATTTTTTTTGGCTTCAGATTCTTAATGTTAACATTAGCTCTGAATTGAAAAAGAGAAGAAAAAAAAAACCCAGAGCATGATGCATTACTTCACTTCTATATAGTCCACTTCATCCGAATACCACTTTTTTAACATGATGCATGTCTAGGATATGAAACCCAAAGCTATGAATTGAAAAAGAGAAAAAAAAAAAAAAAAAAAAAAAAAAAAAAAAAAAAGCCTAAAAACAGACCCCAA